AAAAAAAAAAGACTAGTTGGAGGTCGAAGAGTAACAATTGGAAGCAGACTTTCGAGGTACTGCCCTACGGATGCTGCTAAGGGTGGAGAAAAGGGAGCCCACCGAAGAGCCTCACCTTTCAACATAAGCAATTATAAAGGTGTTTTGTTTTGTTTCTCCCAACAGATAAAACAGGAATCAGGAGACAAAAAAGGCAGGGAAATGTGATGAAACACAGTTAATTACTCTAAAATAGATTTCAAGTCACAGCATTATGGGTCTTTACTTTTCCCCTAGGAAATGACTGTTATCTTCAGGCAGGTGACTGACACACATGAACAGAGAGGCTCTGTAGCTAGAAGTTTCTGCGTAGCAAGCATATAGGAGACCCTGGAAGGGCACGGAGACAAATGTTGAGGGAGGGAGAAGACAGCTGATCTCTAAAGGGCTGCTTTTGCTCCTGGATCCAAAACTTAACTCAGAAATGCAAACACAGAAGGGAGGTTACAGACCTCACATGGTCGATTTCAAACAAACTAGCAGTCCTATAGCACATTTGCACTCTTTTTACTTCTTCCGTTATTTTGTAGCTACTGAGGGTTTTTTTTAAATGATAAAAATGCGATCACAAAGCTTAGGAGTGTTCGTGTCAATCAGTGGATGGGATATAGAATCTAGTTCCCACTGTTACTCCTGTCTTCCGACTTGGTATATGCTGATCTTTGAACACAAGGCAAAACAAAGAGCAAACATTTGCACCAAGGAATCAAACATAACTGAACGTGACACATGTGGCTTTCTGCTTCTTTTCCTGCTCTGTATCTACTTTAAAACAAAGAGAAAAGAAGATGGAGGGGATCTATGGGGTTTCAACTCAATGTAATGACAAAAAAAAACCACACACAGAAAACAGACAAAATACACCACAGAAAAACAAGTGTTAATAAAACTCTAAGAGCATAAATGAAATGTGAATGAAAAGTATAACAAAAATAACTGTAAATAAAACACTGAATCAGATCAAATGAAGTCTATTTCCCTTTCAGTCTGCTCCAAAGGCGGGGAGGGAAATGCTAAGAAGCAGAGGATTAAGACTTTGTTGTATAAAAATTAAAAAATGAAAAGTCTTCTAAAAAGGGTTACAAACGAGACTCTCAAACATCAAAGTGCTGTGACAGAGTTTAAAGACTGAGAATCTGGCTTAAGGTACCAAATGGATCGTTTCACTTCCAAGGCGGCACCACACAGACCACCTCTGTCTCTCCATGGCATTCCGGCCACGCCTGCTGGCATTCGACGCCTGGCCATCACCGAGCCACTGCACATTCTTGTCCCCTGCCTGGGGTCCTCCCTGAACGCTGCGACCCACCTCACACCACTGATTTCACACCTTCAGGTCTTAGTCTGAACACCGCTCTCACGACAGCCCCCGCTTCCCACCCCCCCGCACCCCCACCGCCTCTGGTGTTAAATGATCTCCATAACACGATTCCATCATTGCTATGATTTCCGTTTATTTATGTGATTATCTGTCTGTCTCGCCCACCAGACTGTGAACCTGTGAGAGCAGAAATCATGTCTGGTTTTGCTTGCCCCTGCCTACAGAGGGTCTGGCATATCTGAGTAAACACACTCAATAAATACCTGGTCTACGACTTAACGTCTAGGTACGTAAGTGAAGAAAAAATGATGTGCTCTCTATCTTTAAGTAGAAATGGAACATTTCCCAGAAAAATGGGTTACACCAGAGGTAGAGAAGCAAAGCCATCCAACCTTACATACTAGGTTAATTTTTCTAAGCTATACTCAAGATAGACATTAACTACATAGAACAAGTTTAGGTTCCTCGCTTGTCTTGATTTGCATAGCTGGTTTTATACTTAGAACAGGAACCCCTGTTGCTCATTTTCAAAAAGCTTACCACTTGAAGGCACCATATATCATGTTCACACACACATTACGACAAAGCACTGTCTGAGCACACATTAAAGACAGGAATCTCCTTTCTGCCCATGGCAATGGCTATTGCGAAGGTGAACAAACAGAAAGTATTCTTGTAGATTTCCCTTTTTAGAAGAGAATTCTGTAACCCTATAGCAGTGGCAGGGGCACTGTGGCCACACAAGGGCACAGTCGCCAGACAGCTCCCTGTCCTATTATCAGAACAGAGTCCTCAGCCCAAAGTCAATGCTGTATTAAGTTCTCCTCTGAAGTTTTTTAAACTGGAATTTTAATAAATACTCTGCATTCTTGAGAGTCCTTCTACTTTGAGCTAGCAGACTGAAGGAGAACAGGGATGAGACAGGGTAAGATGTAAAGGATATATTAGCATAAATTCTGTGAAGTTACATCAAGAAGGGAAACAAATTTTGTCAACATAAAGATAAGACAAATCAGTATAATTATGGTTCTAGTTACAGAAAAAAAATGTCAGTTCAGACTTAGGTATCAGAATAACCATCTTTACTCCCTTTTAACCCAGAGACTAGCTTAAATATTTTACATTTCATCCCAAATTATGACGGATGGTTCATAACATCCCAGCATGCCATAAGAGAACAGCTAAAGGGACAAGCTCTTTTAACATTCACATAAAAATTCACCAGAGGCAGCCAAGGCCAAGAAACAAAACCTACAAATGGAATTTCACAAGGAACTGGAAAATTTTACGAGGGAATCGTATTTGCAATTAACGTGCCAATAGGGGAAATCCAATCTTGTGAATCACAAAAACAGGAAAGAGGTCACTTCTCTCACCCAGGTGTTGACCGCTACATAACTGGGTGATGTTGGACAGGTATCAGTTTTGGTTGTGGATGCGAAATGTAGTCGAGGGCAAAAGTGAAGAGCTATCTTTCACTCTTCTGATCGCCATGATCTCACCTCCTCCCCCAACCTCTTCCTTGCAAGGTAGTTAGTCTTAGAACCCGGGGAAACCAAACACATGGAAAAATCAATTCCTGAAAGACTCTGTAGTGTATCTTTAAAGTGTCAAACAGACACTTTAACTGAAAATCAGAGCAGAGTTGATTGCTTTTACCTAACTTGTATCAGATATGATCACAATGAATAAAACCGTAGAGAAAATAACACACATATTTTAGAAAAAGCCAGTGAATGTCCACATTAAGTGGGATTCTGACTTCAGTTTTCCATACAAGTGACTCAAAGTACAAATGCCTTGGAGTAGAACTCTTCACCAAGATACTCGTTTCGCTAGTGTGGATGACAGAATCTCAAAGATATAAAGGATCTTTAAGGCTCTTCGTTTTCCCACCTAACTCATCGTTGTGCACTCGAGAACCCAAGAGGCCTCGTTTTAAGTTAAGCCTAAGCTAGGACTCAGACTTCAGACAGTTAGGGCCAGTGCTCTTCCCAAAGTGCCACGTGATGCGAAGCTCCACACTCCTCACTGTGTTGACAGAGTACGACACAAACAGGTGGCGTTAGAAGCTGCGCAACTGGCACGGGGACCAAGCCGTTTTTGAACAGAGACTTGGTTCTAACTTCCGACCTTTTTAGAACGCACACAGCCATAAAATACAAAGAGGGCGTGGTCCCATTATTTGTACGTAGAACTACTTTTCTCAGATTTAATATAAATCATCTTCTCCAAAATACTAAGCATCTATTCCTGGCAATACACTAATAAAACACAACAGCCATGGCTGCATAATCCCTTCATGTTTATTCAAGGGAACACTGAATAAATGCCCCTCCCCTGTCATAAGACCCCAAGACTGTCTAATATTAAATTACGACCCACGGTCATATTTGAGACTTTCATGTCTACAAGAAACCTCTTCTTTCCCCTCTTTCCCTAAACAGCGATCATTTGCTTCAGTAGTTATGTAGCCCTTGCCAGGTAAGGACATGCCGACACCACACCACACGAGGAGCTCAGTTTCAGAACCTAAAATCCCCACTGGGTCAGGACACTCACTGCCCTTCAATTTTTAGATAACTGGCGCTTACCCATTTAACACTGACATAATTCCCTATTTTCAAAATGTGTGGCTCTAATGAAGCGTTAAAATTAAATTTCATACTTTAAAACCTAGGCAGACTTTTGTATTAATCCAGTGAGTGCTGCACTGTGGAATTAGTAATGAAACTTACTTGAGCATGAAGACTGGGTTCAGACAAAGACTCCAGTATTAAGAGGGTGTGCGTGAGAGCTCTGCATCACTGACAGATGGAGTCAGAGACAAGGCCTCAGTTTGGAAAATCAAACTAAACACAAAGCAGTTTCATGCAGTGCTGAACAAATATCCATTGTTGATGGTGTCAACAGATCACTTCATGAGATTCATCATAAAGCATGTAGGTGAAATTTTAGCAGAAGCCAAACACCTAAGAGGCTCGGTGAAACTGGCCAAAGAAAGGCATCCATCTCAGACAAAAGCAAACTTCGTGTTCCTGATTCTTGTTTGCACTCAGAGAAACTAACACTCCTCCCGATTCCACTCTCGTCCTCTTGATTCCGGCTGGTGTGCCTAACCATGGACTCGCTCTGCTCTCAAATCACCCCCACATGCTTCCTCACTCCCCTTCCTACAAAACGGAAGCATCAGAACACAGCAACACTCTTCGACCCTGTAACCTGTGACTCTTAGCTTTCATTCCTTTCTCCTCTGGGGTTTCGTCCTTCGGAAGGAAATTACTGGGCACTCGAAGACCAGGGGTCCTCCACTTAGAGCCCTCACACACCGCCGTGTGCTATGCCAAGCAGGCTGCGCACCTCACAAACACTGCCTGAGGGCCCGTCTCTCGCCAGACTGGCTTGTCACAGGCTGATCTGCTGAGGAGAGACCATCCAAAATTGCACAAGGAGCCTCGTTAACGCAAGAGCTGGTCCCTTTTCGCCCTTCTGACGATAACCTCACCAACCTTCCCACTAAAATGAACCATGGGGATCGGTCGTAAAACGGGTCATGCCCGTCACTGAAGAGCTCTGATCCCTCCTCCGTCCCTGCGTCAGAGCCGGTGTCGTCCACGAGCGCCTCATCCTCAAAATCCTCCATGTCGTCTTGCTGCTCGTCAGCCAGCTCAGTGACGTCGGAGTCGGCCGTGGAAAAAGTGGGGGAGGGTGTGCGGTCCGCAAGGCGCTCGTTCACACAGCCGTGGAAAATGGGGGAGCTAGGCACCAGGGAAGACGCCGACGGACACAGCCAAGGAGAGAGGAACAGCTGGTTAAACAGGAAGCTACAGGTGCCAAAAGGACAGAACCCACTGGGGAGCCAACACGGTACAAGCGAGTGGAAAAGCAAAGGGTAAAATCAGCATAAATCCTCTGGCTCAGGTGAAAGGCAACAAGGGCTGATCCTTAGAATAAGAAAAGCAAAGGAAACACACGGGTAGAAGATCTCAGGTGAATAGTGTGCTGTAAAAATGTTTCTACTTTCCAGGTCACACAAAAGATCAGCGGCCAGGCCTCAAAGGAGCCACCCAACATTTGGTGCAAAAATATGGTTTAGATCTTTACCCCGATTCCCACATCATCTCCGAGCAGAAAACAAGATGGATGGAATGGCGTACAGCAAAGCAAGTTTCGTGCCTTGCTTGGGTGAGAGGTGTTTGGCCAACTCAACTCTTGAAAAACGCTCCACTATTGGAGGAGTAGAACGGAAAGGATTTAAACTTCATTTCTACAAAATACTATGACTTTGCTCCTCCTTTATACCCAGTTCCTTTAAAACTGTCAGAAAATTTTTGCAATTAAAAAACAATTGAAATTCTGAAATCATTAAGCTAAAACTTAACATCTCTCTGCTTTTAAAATTCTAAACATCTAAGAACTTGGACTCAGTATGGATTCACAGAGGCATTATTTGTTTTCACTACATGTTGAAATTTACGTACACACAAAAGAGGCTCAAGAGGATGACCAAGGTATGTGGTTGGCTCACCCTTACAAAGACTATCGTGAGATAAACTGCTTTAAAAAAAAAAAAAAAA